CCAGTCGGCCATTTCAAACCCGATCCACAAAAAAAAATGACGTGCATCAAGGTCCTATTATGTTTAATGTATGTACCAAATTTGAACAAAATCCGTCCATGCATAACTGAGATCCGGGTCCGGATGGTGAAAATGTGCGATTTTGATGCATTTTCGGCCTTAAAATAGCCGCTATTCGGCTATCGTTAATCGGATCATGAAAAAAATGCATGTGCATATGTCCCATATAATGTGTGATGTATGAGTGAAGTTTGAACTTAATCGGTCCATGCATGTTCGAGATACAGGTGATCACGGACGCACGGACGGACGCACACAGGGCAAAACATAAGTCCCCGTTTTCGGACTACGTCCGAACGGGGACTAATAAGGTCACACAAAGTTATAAGACAAAACCCATACTATGCATAAGATCATAAGGTCATACCATGAGGTCAGACCATATATATTCATATCATGGATTGTACAGTACGAATTCTTGGCGTGACCTTATTCATATGATGGGAAGGACGAAGATTTCTAGTAATGTATTTTATGAGGGAGAAGTAGGGAGGATGATCATGCAAAATATCTGATATGTCCATCGCATAAAAATGTTCATAAACCAAAGAAATTCGGTATTAGGTTTGTGGGATCCTTCATTTCTCAGGGGATAAATCTGTCGATCTTATCAATGCATGTCACATGTGTTGGGCAGGCAAAGCTTACACGGGAGCCTCGATCAGTTCAGAGTGTAGAGACTATGCATACATTAGGTTTTGAATTAATAATCCGGTACGTTTGCGCACATGAGAAATATTCTACTAGCGATATTCTAGTGACAATTTCAATATATATTAAGTTTTCATATTTTTTTTTTATACATTAACCAATTTAAACGAATGGGGAATTCGACCACAGTCTGGCAAAAATTGCTAACAACGTCAGACGGTATAGCATTACGTCACCGAATGATAGAATACGTGAACCAAGTGGTGAAAGGGCCATGCTGCCGCTAGATGTCGCTACTGTGCGTACGTGATACAGAAGCAGGCTCCTAGCTATATTTAAAATACGTGTATTAATGTCATGCGACTATGCAGTGTCTGCACTTTATTACATTCCAATGTTACACTGACGTGTACATGTTTTTTAAACTCACGCTGTGCGTCGTATCACACGGTCCGAAACAAATATTTACGATCACATGGTGGATAATTACCTACGCGTGTTCGATTACTCTTTTGTAGAATTGAATATATGCTATATTTGAACTACATTAATGTGTCATTTAATAAATGTATCACCGAAAAAGAAGAAACAAACTGTTGAACACTCGAAAGGAGCCTTTAATCATGCAGATGTGCTTTTCAATGAATGTATTGTCGCTTGAACTTCCAGTCTGTTCACATTCTTGAAGATAAGTGATATTTGACAAGCTCAATTAAAAAAGATATTATAACACTGATTATACGAAAAATCCTGACCCCTATTGAATGTAGAATGGTGCCCAGGGACCTTGAAAAAAAAATACTCGGTGACCTTTGCCGCTTACAGCACCGGCTTTGTCTGGAGATTGAAATCGGCCGAAATTACTAATTTTTAACATAGAATTAGTTAAAATATAATACTATTCGTCGGAATAAGAGGTCAATTTGGTCATTTGATCGGCAAAATAGATTCCGTGTGGAACAGTATATAATATGCCGCTGACAATGAACCTTTTCATAGATAATGCTGCGTGCTTTCTTGGATTTGGAAAAAAACGGAGAAAATGTATTATTTTAACTAGAACGTTTTAAGTTTCATTTGAATGTATATCAGACTTCGTAAGTTCTTCAATTGAGGTCTGAACTTTCCGGAAAAGTAGCACGGAACAATTCTAGCCAGAACCAGATCGTGTTTGCCGGCCGACCGACGCGAAGAGTTCCACCGCGATGACCTGCAAATGACCGTTTGCGCAAACAAACAGCATGGTTGCTCTACGTCACCCGTCATTACGAAGAAAGACAAGCCCATATATGGCGGAACATGATTGGTAGCTGGCGTAAACAGATAGTGATTCTTCCTATGATTGGAGGATTCTGGAGGTGTGTCAGAGGCTCGTCCAGAAGGGATTTTATATAACTTAGCCACCGGGCTTCAGTGTTTTAATTCTCACTTGTTGCAGATATATGTACTGAGCTCTCTGAAATCTTCTATACGAAAGATTTTCCAGTGGCTCTTTCTTTTTGACTGGCAGAATTCGTGCAAGGTAAGTCTTTTTACATGCGACTACTTTTATGTTTGAATTTCACGAGGTCTTATGAATTTGTGATGACTCCGAGATGACTAACGAGAACCGTTGACATGACCGCTTGACACTAGAAAGAACGTGCACCGCACAGTAAGTTTTTAGTCTCATAAATTTTCAGTAACATAATCTCAAATTTATAAGCATAATTTCGGCCCGTTTTTAAATTTCGTTTTCAGCGTCAAACGTTGTGTTTCTGTGAAGAACATAAGTCGGTTGCCGAGGTAACTTTTCTCACCCTTACCCAGTTGTTGGTCAAAATATGATTAACGTCTGGAGCCAATGTCTCGATCCAAAATTGAGAAAGAATTTATAGTAAAATACATTAATAATGGGCAACACGCGGTATCAGAAAACTGTCGATAAAGCCGTTAGATTCATGGGATAAAGTGTGGTTAAAACATTCGTGTATTCATCTGTAAACTTGTTGTAAACTTGAATTGTTCGCCGACGTTACAGAAATTGTCTGAAAATAACCACACGTTAGAGCACGGAACAGAACGTCTTATTTCGACCCACCTTCCTTTTGTTATCCACCCACTGCCTCCTTATTATATGATGACTAACAACACGATGCGAGGAGTGGCAGTGGTGCTTATTATTTTGCAATATCGACGCACATATCTCGATCATTAGTTGGTTGACCTGCCTGACATTTAAATCCCTGCCAATCAAACGATCACGCTATCGGTGATCAATGCATTTTATTCGACCTCTTGACTCCTGAGTTGTTTGTGCGGTGAAAATAACAAGTTAAATTTTAACTTTTGGTCGGTTTAATTGCTGATTCTTATCTCGAGCTGATATGATATCATTGATACGATGTTGAAACTTGTTGAGAAAACATTTGAAGAAACATCGTGTGTTCTTAGGTTATTTCCTTCTTTGTACTTTGCTTTTCAAAAAGTGTTGCGGCGAAAGAATGTTTCCCATTTCCCGTTTATTTCTTTCAGTTTTCTCATATCCAGTCTACGTATTTACTTTTTGCAAGCTACCTTTCTTCAACGTTCAACATGCCTACCGAAATTCAACAACCAACGATTGCGGTAAAGTTTGTCTGTGCCGGAACTGCTGCCTGTATGGCTGACATGATCACGTTCCCGTTGGACACTGCTAAAGTTCGATTGCAGGTGAGTACAAAACGCGAGACGCTCATTGGTTCATTTTGTTTGAATAATTTTGCATCATTAACCCGTTCGATTTGTGGATCTGATTTTTTAATTTCTATTTCCTCTTTCTCAGATTCAAGGTGAAGGGAATAAGAAAAAATCCGCATCTGTCATCACCAAAAGTCTTAGTAAGCCAGTAACCGAAGTGCGTTACAAGGGTGTGTTTGGTACCATCTCTACCATCGCCCGTGTTGAGGGACCACGTGCTCTGTACAATGGCGTCAGTGCTGGTCTGCAACGTCAAATGTGCTTTGCCTCTATTCGTCTTGGCCTTTACGACTCCGTCAGAGGGTTCTATCAAAACACCATTTCCTCAGGTGAGTGTTGCCACTACTAGTTCTTCGGTTGAATTCAATAGCAAGGCAGAAATCTGCTCCAAATTTGAATACTAATTCAAGTAGTTAATACATTTTTTAAACCGAATATTTGTTGGGAAAACATTCCATAGTTTTCTATACAAGAAATTATCCACTTAAACATTTTATCATTATCATGGTTACAGATCTTCCAGCGTTTAATGTGGTGACCCGTATTCTTGCTGGCATGACAACTGGGGCTACCGCCATCTTGTTTGCCCAGCCGACCGACGTTGTTAAAGTTCGTCTCCAAGCTCAGAACAAAGCTGGCGGAGCAAAAAGATATTCTGGAGCGTTCGATGCCTACAAGAAGATTGTAAAAGCGGATGGTGTTAGAGGATTGTGGCGAGGTGAGTCGATTAGAAACTCTGAATGCACTCTTCAGATTGAACATTCTTTTGCCAGTCGATTTAGAGAAACTTTTTTCAGTAGATTAACCTATCTTCTATGTATCGATTGTTTTAGGTACCCTTCCTAACATCGCTCGAAATGCAGTGATCAACTCTGCTGAGTTGGTGGTATACGACCTCACTAAAGAAACTATTATTAAACGTCGAATCCTACCAGATAGTTTGCCCTGTCATTTCGCCTCTGCCATCTTTGCTGGGTTTGTAGCCACATGTGTCGCCTCACCAATAGACGTCGTCAAGACCAGGTTCATGAATTCAAACCCAGGCCTGTACTCTGGAGCTATTGACTGTGCTGCTAAGATGTTCAAAGAAGGCGGGATAAAGTCATTTTATAAAGGGTAAGTATTTCTTGTCCAACCTCAAATACACATACAAGAGAAACGATATTCAGGCATGGAAAAGCTCAAATTAAGTGTTAAATACTTGGAAATACGCAGTTTTCATTGTTCTTCTCGATTTCATTCCAGGTTCATTCCTTCATTCATGCGACTTGGATCATGGAACGTCTTCATGTTCATCTTCTACGAGCAACTGAAGAAGAGAGTTATGGAACATAAAAAACAACGACGAATCCAACATCAGGGGACGCAAGTCGCTTGAACTTTCCATCAGACGTGGCAACCGCTACGACAGCAGAACGCTATTCTCGGAGGCTGAGAAGTGGAACACCGTCCGACAGTATTGACCTTTACGTCGTGATCTCTTCAGACCTACTTGTTTATTCAAGAAATTTGGTTTGGTGCACGGATGAAAGGAGGTTAGAAAGCTGCACGTGACAAACGTTACCATCATGGACCATAAAGGTGGTTCTGCCTATGGAGTTGGAGTTAACATACAAAAGAACAAACAAACACCACATGACTCCGCCATCTTGATTTCGAGCCTGGTACCGCAAACGTACTAGTACTTGATAACGGCCTGATAATTTGAAGTCTGGCTTCGTATATTCAGTTACTACTCAAACTGATGCAATTTATGATAAACGTAAAATTGTTGAACAATTCACAACCTGAACGCATTATATTTCACGTTTTACAAAGTTGCCCAGCTAAAAGGTCATCTGCTGGATGTTATTTTTATAATGGACGGCCATTGTTATGTTCATGTTTATTTTAAGAAATTGTTATTTTGTTGTGTTTTTAGATCCAGCGATTTTCAGTCTCTGCTATGACTACGTACAAGTATTTACATTTCGAATTTTGCTTGTATTGATTTATTTTCTGGCGTGTCCGGTGTTTCGATGGGAGGGTGGTTAGAGAACATGATCATGTATGAAAGCAGAAACATGATCCTATGACGTGATTCCCAGCCGACTGTTGGTGATTTCTGCAGACAACAATGTGTCGGTAAAAGTACATCTAAACAGCGTTTACGTAGTGTACTATGCTCCCGGGGTTTCTATGACAACTCTCACAGCATGGCACCAATTCTCTCATCACCATTCCAGACCGTGACATCAGGCACATTTTAATAACATGTCTATCATGTATTCAATATCAAATGTTATTTACAATATTTTTAGCTGGGACTTACTTCTAAAATAGTAAACATCAATACTTTATATATTTATTTATGTATTTATTTATTTATTTATATTACGACATCTTTGGAGTTTGTCTGAAATTATTGGAATTTGTTTTACTTGAAATTTCTAAATTAATGTCGCCCTCATGCGGACAACATGTTTTATTTACAGTAGGAGTGTTTTATATTGTACTGAGAAAAATGACGTCACATTGTGTAAATATTTGTCTATCAAATTGAAATGTTCTATTTTGTACATTCATAAATTATTACATGGCGGTGAATAAAATGTTACACCAGAGAAATAAATTGAGTTTCGATTTTTGACAGTGTTTGTGAAAGTGAGTGAGACAGTGTTTGTGAAAGTGAGTGAGACAGTGTTTGTGAAAGTGAGTGAGACAGTGTTTGTGAAAGTGAGTGAGACAGTGTTTGTGAAAGTGAGTGAGACAGTGTTTGTGAAAGTGAGTGAGACAGTGTTTGTGAGAGTGAGTGAGACAGTGTTTGTGAAAGTGAGCGAGACAGTGTTTGTGAAAGTGAGTGAGACAGTGTTTGTGAAAGTGAGTGAGACAGTGTTTGTGAGAGTGAGTGAGACAGTGTTTGTGAAAGTGAGTGAGACAGTGTTTGTGAGAGTGAGTGAGACAGTGTTTGTGAGAGTGAGTGAGACAGTGTTTGTGAAAGTGAGTGAGACAGTGTTTGTGAAAGTGAGTGAGACAGTGTTTGTGAGAGTGAGTGAGACAGTGTTTGTGAAAGTGAGTGAGACAGTGTTTGTGAAAGTGAGTGAGACAGTGTTTGTGAGAGTGAGTGAGACAGTGTTTGTGAAAGTGAGTGAGACAGTGTTTGTGAAAGTGAGTGAGACAGTGTCTGTGAGTGGGTGGGACAGTGTTTGTGAAAGTGAGTGAGACAGTGTTTGTGAAAGTGAGTGAGACAGTGTCTGTGAGAGTGAGTGAGACAGTGTTTGTGAAAGTGAGTGAGACAGTGTTTGTGAAAGTGAGTGAGACAGTGTCTGTGAGAGTGAGTGAGACAGTGTCTGTGAGTGGGTGAGACAGTGTTTGTGAAAGTGAGTGAGACAGTGTTTGTGAAAGTGAGTGAGACAGTGTCTGTGAGAGTGAGTGAGACAGTGTCTGTGAGTGGGTGAGACAGTGTTTGTGAAAGTGAGTGAGACAGTGTTTGTGAAAGTGAGTGAGACAGTGTCTGTGAAAGTGAGTGAGACAGTGTCTGTGAGTGGGTGAGACAGTGTTTGTGAAAGTGAGTGAGACAGTGTTTGTGAAAGTGAGTGAGACAGTGTCTGTGAGAGTGAGTGAGACAGTGTTTGTGAAAGTGAGTGAGACAGTGTTTGTGAAAGTGAGTGAGACATTGTCTGTGAGTGGGTGGGACAGTGTTTGTGAAAGTGAGTGAGACAGTGTTTGTGAAAAATAGCGGGACAGTGTTTGTGAAAGTGAGCGGGACAGTGTCTGTGAGTGGGTGGGACAGTGTTTGTGAAAGTGAGTGAGACAGTGTTTGTGAAAAATAGCGGGACAGTGTTTGTGAAAGTGAGTGAGACAGTGTTTGTGAAAATGAGCGGGGGAGTGTTTGTGAAAATGAGTGGGACAGTGTCTGTGAGTGGGTGGGACAGTGTTTGTGAAAGTAAGTGGGACAGTGTTTGTGAAAGTGAGCGGGACAGTGTTTGTGAAAGTGAGCGAGACAGTGTCTATGAAAGTGAGCGGGGCAGTGTTTGTCAAAGTGAATGTGCTCATTCTAAAACTAAAATCTCATGCGCCGATCATCTGTCTCGAATCCATATCCTTGATTTTTACAGTCTTTCAGAGCAGAAAACAGCACGACTGATAAGTTAACACTAGCCCGATGTTCAGTAAAATATAGCATGGTTCATGTTTAGCTTATGTCCCTGGCTTGGCCATCATGGTGTTTTGCAGTGGCAGACCAAATTCAAATTCATTGACCAACTTAGCATACAAAGAACTCATTGCCCAACGAGAGTCTGTCGCATTGAAATATCATGGGTAAACTAGGAAATAGTCACCAATGTTCACAACAACTCAGTGGCTGTAGCATTGTTACGAAACTTGGTCTGTGTACACAGCTCATTATATGTCCTGTGTTAGTCAGATAAAAACAAATGGTTCAACAACATTTGCCATGGGTGGCGCTCTATTCTAAATACTCCAAATGTTCAAGGAGATTAGTGCATATATAAAGTTATTACCGGATGTTATTACTCAGTTTCAATTTAAACACAACCTGCTGACCGTTGTAATTGTGTTTACTGGCCGAGACCACAATAAAATATTAAATAACTAATACATTCTTTGGTAAAACAATACATTACAAGGTAAAGTTTACCCTCCCAATACCTACCGAGAACTTCCCTTGAAATAGATACGCAGCATAGCCTAGTACGTGTTCCACTGTAATACGAGATGAAACATATCCGGTTTAAATATTTATAGGATTTATGGTAAAGCGTAAGTTTCTCACTTTACAATCTGTCATGTTATACCAGGAGACTTTATGGTTTTATTATGATCTGAGATGACAACCAGCTTTGACGTCATCATTACCAAACGCTTCAGCGTGGTATTAAGATTTTGTTTTCAGGCTTGGGTGGTACCAAGGTGGAAAATGGTTGCACATATGGGGGGTAATTCCTGGAATTGCAATAGAGAGGGTTCAGGCCGAAATACATATATATAGTGTTTCCATGTTTCGTCTGATATTTCTGTGGTATTCTGCTGCTGTAAATATGCAAGATTTGTTCCAAAATTCAGTGTGTTGTGTGCACTCCAGGGTTATTCGTTTTTTTGCTCAAAACACCCCTATTTTGTAATGGCAGAGTCGAATAGTTTCACTCCCACTGGGAAATCTGCATTGTTACTTGAATGAGAGCTAACTAAACACATTTTCCAGACCGGCGAAAGTGTATGCAACAGCCAA